TTTTATCTGTTTACTACATATCCATCTATTAAAAGTATTCATGATTATGAGAATGTTTTCTTTCTTTGTTTAAAGACGGTGTTTGATCTGAACAAGATTTGTTTAAAATAATTAAATACATAAAGAATGTTTATAAATAATTTATCAATTATAATGATAGATTTCTATCAAGATTTGTATTTGATAATTAACCAAATACTCTATCTATATAATATATTAAATCTAAATATATTAAATAATATAACAACACATCATCAATTATAACTCTAACATATCATTAAGTATAATTTTAAATTTGACACATTATCCTATAGTTCTGTGTTATATTCCTAAATTCATTTTCATCCTATACATCTCAAAAATATGATTGAGCTTACTATCTCCTTAATTATAAATGCAAAACTAGATTAAGATTCGTGCATCCTGTAAATTAGCTTGTTCATTTTTTTTATTGAATTTTAAATATATTAAGAGTTGGTTTTGACAAAATATAATTACTAAATTTATATTATAAACTTTTTTTTTGTGAACTATAATAGAGACAATAATATAAATTAATCACATAGACAAATATACATTTCATTTGAACTCTTGCTATTAACCTCTTCATGAAAGAACAATCTCTTCAAAAGGATGTTGTTTGGCTTATCCTTCATAGTATACCCAAGTTGACGTCGAGCTAGAATCAGATTATAGTTGATACTTCCTTTAATACCAAGAAGAAGAAAATTAGTAAATTCACCACAACTGTCAGTAATCCCCACATTGTCATAAGCCCTAGAGTACCAAGTCAAATCCACATTTGTAAGGAACATAATCCTCTAAGACCACCTCAAATGATTCTTGTTATCCTTGAATGAACTAGACCGCGACAATCTCTGCTTTCCTCAAATGAATAGCTCCACCAATAACATGAGCTTCAGGAATCTCCTCTAAACCACTGAACGGAATCTGATCTAATACGGGAAAACTCATGTAATAAGCATACCCCTCCAAAGTAGGTGCAAGATCATAATCTGAGAAAGTGAAACACCTATATAAGGGATCATAGAACTGGACCAAGGTGTTCATAACTCCATCTTTAACATCAGTATTCAACACTGTTAGAATCTTTCCATAATGGTCTTTGAAATCCAAAGGACTAGTCACCGAAGATTCGAGCTTTCTCAACTCTTTCAATTCAGAAATCTTAAAACTAAACTTATGAGTGTTTCTCCTTCCATAATCCATAACCACAATACCTGCAATGTTTGTAAGTGAAATTCCTAAGTTCCTTGAAAACCAAGTGAAAAAGATGTATATGAATGCATGATTATGCCACAATCACAAACATGGTAGGTTCAAAGATTCGTCGTCACAAGCATGGAGCCAAGGTAACAACCAATCCACAAGGTATGTTTCATTGGTTTAATCATCTGAACATGTAACCAGGTTCTAACAAGGTCCTCAGAGTCGTAGATCCATATTTTAGATATTACTAGTTTAAACGACTTACTCGCCAACCAATAATATTATCAAGAGAAACTCTTCTGAGTGTAATATCGTGTATCAACCAAACAAAGTTTACATCGGGATGGTCACCACACTACATCCTAAGAAGGCCAATATGGGTAAATGTTTTATAAAATTCCTCAGCTTCGCAGACTCCCATGTTGAAAGTAACAACGCCATTACGATTTACTCGTAAGACATCAATATAATCAAAGGGGCCTCCCTGAGTGGGGGATCTCAAGTCAACCAACTGAGGCTTAACACCAAGTAGGTCAAGCTTGGCTATACCACCCTCTTAATAATAAGTGCACTCAAGTCTGGGTATATGACCTATCTCACCACACAAAGATCACCAAGCATCCAAGAGCAAAAATAACAAACAAAAGCAAAACTAGGCTCAACCCACTTAAAGACTACTCCCCAGTAGAGTCGCCAGTCTGTCGCGGTGGAAAAATTTAGATTAAGCTATTGATTAACTTAACTCAAAAAGCAAGATTCGCCACCGGACATTATTGTTTCCAAAGGGAAAAGGTCAGAAAAAAACCTACAAAAGTTTTCAAACAAAACAAAAGAGAGATTTAGGTATGAGAGATGGTTATGCGGGGGGGGGGGGGGGGGGGGGGGGGGGGGGGGGGGTATTAGAACCCCTCATATATATATATATATATATATATATATATATATATATATATATATATATATATATATATATATATATATATATATATATATATATATATATATATATATATATATATATATATATATATATATATATATATATATATATATATATATATATATATATATATATATATATATATATATATATATATATATATATATATATATTTAAATTAAAATTAAACATAACTTTAATTGGTTTAAAATGGAAATTAAAGAGAAAATACAAAAGACACCTCAAAACATCAAATAAAAAGCCACAAAAATTTGAGAAAGTCGGAAAAACTCCAAGGATCGAGTTCTCAAAAGTTGGGATAAAAAATGTTTAAAAATAATTAAAACAAAATTGGTGCAATTTAATTAATAAGAAAATAAAGAGAATGATGAAAACTACTAAAAATGATTTTATAAATCTGAAGAAAAAACATGTAAGGTAGAAAATTATAGAAAAAATTCGAAGTGAAAAAGGTTTTTGGAACTATTTTTAATGAATTTAGAAAGAAAAAGGAATTAAAATGAAATAAAATAGAAAAGAAATGAAATATTATCCAACGGTCAAGACACGCACCAACTTCTGATTGGACATAATATTTGAATTTCACTCTCAAACGCGCGAACCAGGTAGTCTTCAACATCTGAACTTGATTTTTGCAGTTTTCATGAAATGGAATTTTAAGCTTAAACACGCATCATGCAAGCTTCATATTCCTTCATCGTTCACGTCTCTCTTCATCAGAGCAATTATTTTCTCCGAGAAGAGAGAATTTTCATAAATACGAAGAAATCCTAGCTTACTCGAAGTTAAATTAAATAGCAAACACGAAGAATAAATCACAGTTAGGTGATGGCTTTTGAATAAAAGAATAAGACGAAGAATGTGGTAACTTGTCTGAGAGAAAAGGAAACTTGTGGCTACCTGTTTGAAGTGTGCTTCAAAGTTCTAAAAATGGTGAGATGAAGTTGGTATTTATAGGTGTTATTGAACTTCTGTAATGCTTCAAGTAGCTTCAGATGATGCTGATGAAGGATTCTGGGTGGAGATTTTAAGTTAAAATGATAAGAAAATGAGTTTAGGTTTTCTGTTTTTTGAGAGGTATGAAGTTTGATTTCTGAAACATTTTGGAGGCTCTCTAAGCTTGCAAATGAAGGCATAAGCTTGCTCTATTTATAGGATAGAGAGTGGGCTCATCATACGTGCCAAATTTGATCTCAATAGTGTGAACCAAGTTGGAAAATTCTAGATCCAAAACTGTGTGAAGGATGGAACGAAATGTGTGATTTATTAAGAAATTCAGGTCGTTTTGTGTTGTAAAAATGTGTTTCATCATGACAAAGAAGTTTTCACATGTGCAAAGTGGTCTCAAGAAACTTTTAGGTCATTTCTAATTACGGGTCATGTATCAAAGATGCAGAGTTGAGTCACCATGTTCAAGCTTAGGCTAAATGGAATCTACTCGTGCGTTTCTTGATTTTTTTCCTCCAAATGATACTTTCATGGAGTAGGACACAATGCAAAAAGAATAAATTCAAAAGTATTCTTGATGTGAAAATGGCATGAGTTTAAAGTTGGGGTCGTGGCACTGAAAAACAGGCCTAGCATTAGGTCAAACAGGTCATGACCTAGTTTTATGCATATGTGGCTTCTAACATTTGATTAAATTAGAGCCTAAATTGATGTTTGACCTCTGAATAAAAGTTGTAAAAAATATCAAAAGGGACATTTGGATAAAAGAATGCCTCATAAATATTGAGCAATGAGAGAGTTATGATATTTGGACCAAAAGCATGCCATGCTTGGTTTTTAGGTCACCCACACTTGTACCAACTTGTGATATTTTTGAACTTTCCTTGCATTCCAAGGCATAAAGATGATCATTCTAACACCACATAATTGAATTTTGATTGGCCTTTGAAAAAAAAATTGAGGATTTCTTGAGAAAGTTTAATGAAAATGGCATGGAAATAAACACATGAACCCTAACTTAAAACCACTTGAAAAATGCCTCAAACTTGAACTTCTTTTGATCAATTAGTGTTGAATGAAGCTTGATATGAACGTGACCTAATATTATAGTTCATACCTTGAAGGATAAGCCTTTTTGACCACTTGTTAACCTTAACATTGACTGAGGGGATCAAAACCCTAATTTAGAAACCCAACTTGATCTCTTGATGAAAATGCTCTACCTTGCAAAATAAGAAAAGGAAACAAAGCATTTTTTTGTATTTTAAATAGTGTTAGTAATTCACAAAAGCAAATAATCATAAAGATAAAAGAAAACACAAAGGGTTCTTGATGATTCCCTCAAATACAAAGGGGGTTAGGAGGTTACCATGTTTGTGATCTTGATGAAATGCAATGATATGATTAGTGGGATCTTAGGGGTAAAAATTAGGATATAACTGATATCGATTAACCCTTGTGCAAAAATTTTAAGTAACAAGGTAGGACGGGTAATTTTGGATTATGGAAAATGAGGGTTAAGGATCTTGTAATACGGTGGGAGAACTGACTTTTGGTTTGCATTTTATCGCAAATGTTGTGGATAGTAAGAGTCGCCACCGACTTTT